GAAATCGTTTTAACGAAAAGAGAGTATAAAAAAAAAAACTAAAAATACAAAAATGTTTTAAAGGTAAACGCAGGAGTATGAACAAAGAAAAATAAGAGATGCATTTAAATAACGAAATAATAAAAGATAAAAGAAAAGCGAAGAAAAACACGAAAGGATTTAAAGATTAGAAAGAAAAGGATAAAAAATTAAGAGAACGTAAGAAAAAAGACAAAAAACGAAAAGAATTTAAATGAAAGAAAGGAAAAAAGAGAAAAATAAACAAAACAACAAAAAAAAAAAAACACGAAAGTTTTTAAATTTTAAAGGAAGGGTAGAAAAGAAAGAGAAATATGAAACTAAAACCAAAATAGATTTTAAAGAAGAAAAAATAGTAAGAAAAATACAAAACAAAAAAGACGAAATATTTTAAAGAAAGGAAAAAAAATCAAAAGAAACATGTAACAAAAACATGAAAGATTTCAAAGAAAGACGGTAAAAGAAAGAGAAATATGTAACAAAAATCATGAAAATTTTAAAGAAAGGAAAAAAGCAAGAGAAATATGAAACAAACACAAAACGAAAGATTTTAAGGAAAAGAAAAAAGTGAAGTGTAATATGAAACAAAAAACACGAAAGATTTTAAAGAAAGGGAAAAAAGCAAGTGAAATATGAAGCAAAAATCACGAAAGATTTTAAAGAAAGGGAAAAAAGCAAGTGAAATATGAAGCAAAAATCACGAAAGATTTTAAAGAAAGGGAAAAAAGCAAGTGAAATATGAAGCAAAAAACGCGAAAGATTTTAAAGAAAGGGAAAAAAGCAAGTGAAATATGAAGCAAAAAACACGAAAGATTTAAAAGAAAGGGAAAAAAGCAAGTGAAATATCAAACAAAAACGGGAAATATTTTAAAGATAGGGAAAAAAGAAAAAGAAATATCAACACACAAAAGAGAACAGAATTTAACGGAAAGAAAGAAAATAATAATAATAGAATGGGAAGATTTTAAAGAAGGGAAAAAGTAAGACAAATATGAAACAAAAAACACGAAATATTTTAAAGAAAAGGAAAAAAAGCCAGAGAAATATGAAACAAAAAAACCCGAAAGTTTTTAAAGATAGGGAAAAAGCAAGAGAAACAAAAAACAAGATTTTATAGGACTGAAAGTAAAAACATGAGAAAGAAGAAATGCAATGTAAAAATGGATGAATATAAAAACAGGAATGGATTGAAGGGAAAGGAAAGAAAAACAAAAAGCAAAGAAAGAACAAACAAGAATCACGTAAAGGATGAACGGAAAAAAAGAGGAAGTGCAAAGAAAAAGAAAAAGAAACGAAAATAATTTAAAGGAGAGAATGAAAGACACAAGAGAGTGAACAAATAAGAGAAAAACACGAAAGTATTTTAGAGAAGGAAAGCCAAAAAGCAAGGCAAAAAAACATAGAAAATACATGAAAGGCTTTAAAGAAAGAAAGCGGAAAACAAGATGAAAAACAAACAAAAAACACAAAAGTTTGTTAAGAGGAATATGAAGAGAAAGAAGAAAGGAAGTGCAAAAACGGACGAATATGAAGACAATGGTAAATACATTATTAAATGAAAACCGATTTCACTGATAATTATGGGTAAAATGAATTCAGTTACTAAGTAGAATTTGGTTATCTGAAGGCAAAAAAAGAAAGAAAAAGAATAGAAAGACAAATGATTCTAAGAAGAAAAGGAAAATGATAAAGAAAAATAATAAGAAGACATTGTAATCTTAGAGTAATGTATCTTGTGACTTAAATTATGACACAGAAATCCGAAGAGGGAGAGGAATAGATAACCATCCAAAGACTAAACAAAAGCGAACAGAAAATATCGTTAAAGAGTGCTCAACTGCTATGTAATTTAAGACTTCAGATATTACAGAATTCTATTAGGTTGGTGCAAAAATAATGACGTAATAATGTCGTTTTTTGATGTAGTTTTCTACGTCAAAAAACGACATTCTTACGTCATTATTTTTGCACCAACCTAATAGATAATTTCTTTGATAAGAATGAGTCTGGAAGCGACAAACACTGATTGACACTGTGGATGCCATGGACAGACGAATCGACAGAAGTGTGGATCATCGTGTTAATGCCAACGATCCTTTATTTACCTGCACATTATGAGCTTCGCCAGGGCTACATACAGTTTTGAAGTCAGGGTTTTCATTCTCCTAGACCGGTTGCCACCCAGGGCTAAAACGCCCAGTCTGTCCTGATATTCATAGTACGTTCTTCGCCAGGCCGATTTACAATTTTGAATTCAAGTTTTCATTCACTTAGACCAGTTGTCATCCCAGGCTAAAGTGCCCAGTCTATCCCGCTTGTTACCCATAGCTTGGTGAAGAAATGGATTCATGTCTTTCCCAAGGGTATTAGCATATAAGTGAATCTGATGAACACAACTGGAATTCGAACTCGGATCTCCGATTCCCCAATCCTAGCCACCATTTATTACTTCCCAGTACCTCCCAAACGCCAATGCGAGCTGAGGTTCGTTCGGTGGAGCAATGAGAAAGTTTTAAAGTAAATATGAAGGAAAAGGATACGTTTGCTTTGGAACAGAAAGAAACAATTGAAATTTCCATGACAGTCAGTGAGGAAACGGAGCTTGGAGTTTTTAACACTGACAAGGATATATGGAAGGCAAAAACGGATCAGTACGTAACCTCCTAACGTGCTCGTCTAATAGGATGCCAGAGCTTGGAATGAAAGTAATTCTAAGGAAAGAAACGTTGCTTAAGGTTACAAAGAACAGGAAGCTATGAAGACCCATAATCATCTATATTCTTCAGGGAAACGGCACGTAAGATAAAAGAAAAAGGGTTGTATTATTGTGATTAAATATACGAATGTCACCATGGGATTCAAATATGTGGATGAGTAAAATGGGCACAAATTTTTAAGCCCGGTTTCTTAAATTTACTTAGATGTTTTGAAAGTTCGCTTAAATGATTAATTACTAATGACTGATGGGAAAACTGAAATATCAACGAGATTGTTATTACATGACGTATGATATTTCTTATAATAAAGTTCACATAATATAGGCTTGAGATTAACTCAAGGTAGAGGTTATGATTATAATGAACAGCGTATGTGATATGGATGGAAAAGGGGTTAGTAGGAAATGAAGATTATGTGCTTCATTTAGAGGAAAAGCTAGCATTTCTTGCGTTTTATTACTGTTGCAATATCTGGTCTTGTGTTCTTACTGTATATCTCGAGATTCTCTAGTACAATCGATCCTGACCAGGCACCTCGTCTCCAGGCACTTTCTCACCGGCGTAACGTGGCTTCCTGCCTTTTTTACAAATATGTCTAGGGCAACTGCTCTGATGAGCTTTTTGTCTGGTTCCCCGTCTACATTAATTTAAGCATACGACTAGATTGCCATCTAGGGCCGACATTTTTACTGTTGATATAGTTAAATACAACCTGCCACTTCTACTCCAAAACTTTCTTTTCTCCCACATCTCGCCTGTGGAAATCCCTTCCTTCTACTTGCTTCCTCGATAACTACAATCTTCAAAATTTTAAATCGACAGCTATCGTCTGTATTCTTGAATCCCGTTCATCTTTTGTCCTTACCCGAATCCTCCCAATTCTCAGTCTTCTCTTTCAATATCATTCTCTGTGACTCCCTGATTACGTATGACATTTCCGCCTGGCTTGCTCGAAAATGATTAAAAAAAAAACTATGCTGAGTGGGCCCTAGGACTGCGTTCAAGTATAAAAAAAAATCTGTAATCAATCAGCGTACACACTTTTCTTATATATATTGGATTACTACAAATATAAAATTTGTCAATTTGCTGATTTATATATATCTATATATCTCCTGGCTCTTATCTATCTATCTATCTATCTATCTATCTATCTATCTATCTATCTATCTATCAGACAGACAGACACACGAAAAGCGTGCGCACACATACATGTACATACGTACCTATGATCGCTTGAATGTCAGGATGCGGGAAAATTCTTATCCCAAAATATCTAATAGAAATCCGTCTCTTAATATATGGTCGCGTACTTTAATTGACCCCTGATTTTTAAACTCATATATATATATATATATATATATATATATATATATATATATATATATATATATATATAGAGAGAGAGAGAGAGAGATAAAAACATTTACATACGCTCTATCTCTGAGCACTTTATCGGATTAATATAGCATACATTAAAAATATATCTTTTCATTCATTCATATATATATATATATATATATATATATATATATATATATATATATATATATATATGTGTGTATGTGTGTGTTAAGGAAAAAGACAATGGAAAACTGTAGTCTTAGCCAAAAGCTTTTCGTCCAATGTGGATTTTCAAGGTAAAAAAATGGACGAAACGAGTCGGCTAAAACAACAGTTTCCCATTGTCTTTTTCCTAAACACACACACACACACACAGATATATATATATATATATATATATATATATATATATATATATATATATATATATATATATGATTTATGTTTCTTTAAATAATATAGACATTTTTTTTCTATTTATTTTATTCAAATTCCTTTCATATCGTTTGAATATATATGTATAATTAACACACATATAAATTTATCACTTTGACAATTGATGTTATGTTCAACAGCGCTAATCCCTAGATGAACCTTTGTTTAATAATTCAGTTCACCCACCAGGAAGTATCAGCAGTTGTCTACAAATTTCTTGTTTTCGTAGTTTTATATTAAGTTAAAAAAATAATTTATGCGTTTTTTTGTTGTTGTCAAATTTCTATCTTATTATTTGCGTGTGTGTGTGTGTGTGTGTGTGTGTGTGTGTGTGTGTACACTTGTAACTCTCTGTATGTGTGCATGTGTAGGAAGTCGTAAATATTTCTTCGTTTCATAATTATCTCCTCTCCTTTTCTCTTCTAATATTTTCTTTCTTTCTTCTATATTTGTGATCTGAATGTGAAAGGATAAGGAAACAACGTT